TCTATCTATCTATCTATCTATCTATCTATCTATCTATCTCTCTATCTATCTATCTATCTATCTATCTATCTATCTATTTATCTATCTATCTATCTATCTATCTATCTGTATATCAACCTACGACTTCTAGCTTTCCTGGCCTTTTCGATAATGGTATCGATAGCAAACTTCGCAAGGCATAACATGACTTTATGAAGAACATATATATTAGTCATGATATGAATATCATGACATGTATGTCATGATTGTCATGATTTACTTTTCATTGTCCTGCAACTCTTGCTATGGATTCATTCACATGACATGTTGCAGAACAGGTATGGTATGGCATGATTCCATGGCCAACGCAAGCGACAGACCCTAACGTGAAATTCATGAGATGCGTGTCATGTAACATGACTACATGCCACACTGATGATGCGCTCGCGGCCGTTTCGCTAGATTCACATATGCCATATTAGGTATCACGTGCCGCCTATGGATGACGAAGATGTGTGATTGGTGAAACATGATAATCAAGAGATGCGTGTCATGTGAGAACATGACTACATTCCCAAGTCAAGGCGCCAATACATTTCGACGTGACACAGTGCGCGTGCTCGCCGGCATTCATTTCGTCGCGTCACGCCGGCGCTCCCACGCAAGGTGCCGGTTTGGCCATATACTCTCAGGCGGACGCCGCGGTGCGTTGCCTTAGCCACGAAAAAAGGGAGACGCAGTGTTGTCTGTTAACGCATCGGCACAAAACGCAGCATGTCGCATTTCGCACCGGTTGCCCTCGGGCCGACGACGGATGCTGGTCACTGCCTGGCGTTAAACTATAGAGTGCTCGCGTATTGCTAGCGTAGCGTCACTGTGCCCAGCGTGCGCGAGCGTCAACGCTATATTGTAGTATATTGGGCCCTTCATGATGCGCTCGCGGCCGTTTTGCTAGCTCTACATATACCAAATTTGGTGTTACCTGACTTCAATGAATGACGAGATATATGACTGTTGCAAACGTGATAATACTGACACGCGTGTCATTTAAGGACATTACAACATACCATGCTCATAGCGTGCTAGCGGCCATTTCGCTAGCTGCACATATACTAAATTTGGTATCACGTGACGTGAGTAGATGACGAAAGTAGACGACATATCGAAACATGATAATCATGACATGAAAGTCATGTACGGCAGTATTTATCTCCCCCTCGTAACGTTGGGCTGAATTTAAAGTGAGATATCAAATATTTCATTCGTGCTTCCCATATCATCGATTCCTACTGTGCGTGGAATCTGCCAATTTTTTTTTTATACTAGGCGGCTGACAAAAAAAAAAACAAGGCCAAACCTCTCCCCAGAGTATTTATATGTCACTAACGGGCTGGCATTTTCACAGAAAAATGTGCGTTTTCTCTGAAGAATGCGAAGAATGGGGTAGTAACACAATTCGTATCAATGAAGATGTTCCATATTCTTAATGCATTTATGGGCTATGTTAAGAGAGTTGGCCGAACCTCAGAAGATTGTTGTTTTTTTTTTTGCGGCGCCTTCATAGCGTGTCTTTCTATGAGAAGCAGCTGTGGTTTTTCTGGTGAGAAAGTAGGATGTTTAACGAAGTACGTACAGAACTTTACACAATGCGCCCAAACAATTGTATATGAGCCAACAGTCTCCGTTGGGGAAGCTTATAGGTCAAATTCACCTACGGATTGACAACCTCCAAGAGAACACTACTGCAATGCTAATGTTTATGCTGACTGTCATAAATGTGGGTGCAAACCTATATTTTATAGATGGAAGATTTTACATCCAAGCAAAAGAACTTAGGAGCACAAGTCAGCATGGCAGCCACATTTCCAGCTTGGAGGGATTTGGGTTAAGTATCAGTAGGTTTCCGGTAGAAATAGATAATATTTGTCAATAAGAATACCATGAGGATGACGGTTCAAAAAGAATGCATTGGCAAATTTGAGGCTGTTTCTTCGCGCGGTGTTGAGCATAATACACACGCATAAACGGCGAACCCTTCGTAGAAAGGAAGATATGCTTTTTCTATTTCCTAGGCCTACCATTATCCTGATCTATTTTGCCCTCTTTACTTCTTGATTACAAGTTATTCTGTAGATTGCCAGTTATAGGGAAACCAGCGCCGTTACAAAAAATATTTGTTCGACAATCGATTTATAGAGTTATTGTCAATAAAAAGATCACTCTTGAATATGTCTAACAAGCTGTGGAACAAATTGTTTAATATGAGAAAAAAAACAGGAAGACAGGTTGGCCTGAAGAAATGCTTTATATTGGTTAGTGCTTACACGGGTAAGTGGAACAAGGACGTAAAGAAATAAAGGCGTTGAGATAATAGGTGACAATGATATAGGAGATCGAGTCAATGTGCACATTGTCCTGCTCGCTCGAAAATTGTCATACCACAGCACATGCTCTCCGGACGAGCATTTAAACCTAAAGTAAGTTCGTATTAGCCATTTTCTGACTATGTGCTGATTTTTTATATTAACGACCACAAAGATTGTGATATATTTATTCGAAATCTGTTCTGAATCACGTGACTGTGTGAGAAGGTATAGAAAAAAAGTTACGTCATGCCCTATAAACCCACTGTTTTGATTAGTTTCCTCATATGTAACTTTGCAATCAGTTCTCGGTGTCCTGGTCTCTTTTTGTTTTGTGTTTAAATTCAGTCATCACAAGACCCACAACTAGACTTTCACTGAAGCGTAATGCTGATGCTGATTTAACATTTCATATAGTTTGTCCCTTGTTAGGCATTGTCTTAGTAGCTAACAATGTCCGGACAAATTTATAAGAATGCGCACAGCCTGGCATTAGCCGCAGGTAAATAATCAGGAATGCAAGATTTAACATCCCGGTGCTTCTCAGAGAACACGTGTCACAGAAACATAACTATGTAACGTTGAAAAAGGCTCAATATAAAGTGCAAAAATCCTGAATTATCAGCACTTGACGAGTACGTGTTTATGTATGTGCTTATCCTGGTTGTTTTGGGGGAAGTATGCATATACATTTTTACATATAAAATCAGCAATCCTTTTCACGCTGGGCAAATGGCGTTGAGCACAATAAAATGTGTGTGCGTGCTTCCACCTACTACTTATCTCTCTTTTTTAGAACCCAATAGTTTTTTCTGTTTTTGTTTTCAATAGTTCGGAAATGATCTTTTTGAACCCGTTCATCACCGCAACGCTGCAGTTTCTACATGCAGCACCAACGGTAAATCGTTCACCCGGAGCCAGCAATGAAATGTTGGTACAGAAAAAGACCAGTGGCTTCAATAAGTGATCATGCTGCCGAATCAGAAGCGGCCATTCATCGACATGCTCACGATCGAGAGAGCATCAGTAAATAGAAAATGGCACATGTCGCCCGAATATCCGGTGACCCCTGAAATAAAATTCGTTCACAAATACGAATGTGATCGGTGCAGCCTTGAGGGCCGTGTTTCTGTAGACTGGCTGGGTTTCTCGCGTACCATTCCTTCTCGCTTACACGACGTTCTCAGGCAGCCGGACAGCAACGTGCTTACATCAACGACTCATTTTTTTATAAGCGTCAAACAAACACAGGGACGAAGAATATACACGAGCAAGATGGGAGCAGTCTAACACCTGGTTTTATTAACGAAAAATTGGACTCATTCGCTTGATGCTGCACCAGGTAATTTAAAACATGATTGCACATCAGGAAACACGTGAAATGGTTATTCACTGACAAAAAAGCACATAGTAGCGTTGCCTCTTTATCTGATATGCAAAAGCGGGTATCATATAAAGGTCCTTTGAAGCTGTCATGGCATGGAAATTACTCATACAGTCATCCTTGCGCAGAAAACTTTCTACGGTTTCCTTTTATAAGCTTTAAAAAGAATGTCAGCGTTACCAATGGAGAATGGGGGGGGGGGGGCGCACTCTCATTCATTGCAGTGAAGAGTAAGGTGCATGATAGGACATCCTTTCAAACTAGTCATGTGCGCTTTTAATCTTGTATTCGTGCACGTGCTAGTCTGACCTACATATACACGTGCTCACCCGTCACAGGTATGCTATACACAATCTCATTGCTGCATTTCATATACTTGTTTTTCTTTACTATGTCACAGTCTTTGCCATTTTTGTCGTTTTCGCAGTTTTGCTTTGCTGTAGAGCACACACGCCCGAATTTTTTTTTTGCCGAAGACTACTTTTATGCTCTTTTTGTTTGCAACACTTCTTTATTCCACAAGAAAAGCCATGTACGTATTGAGGATTCGTTAGTCGAACGCGTCACGGAAGTGTCAGGCGTCAAAAATTCCCATGCAAATCTGCACGGAAAGTTGTGTCCACCACAGTGGACACCTCGCGCGCCCTTGAAAAGCCCTATTGATGTCATTGTGAGTCATATTCGGCCATTGAATCAATCATATCATTGACTTTTCGTTTATACGTGCCAAGTGTGATAACACTCGGATGCTGTGACCGACACTCCACTTGGACGTCTAATTCATTGAACGATGTCGTGGAACAATCTTCACAGAACTGAAGCTACGTATCAGGCATCCGTTTCAGGACAATCACTCTGCCCAAAATCAAGTGTCTTGGGAAATATTGGTGACACAGAGCTGCGTAATTGTTTACGTTATATGATTTTACGATTTGGGCTTTATCTGCCCGCAATTGTGTACACTGGCCTGAAGGAGGCGGAGAGCTGCCCGAGAACTCCATTGTTTAGAGGGTTAGTTCTAGACCCCTTGCCAGTTATCAGAAATCAATATTACAGCAGATAAGGTGGCAAGTGGAGCATTGTGTCGTTGATAGTCGAGTAATTAGGTCGATACTCGTGCGGACGATTAACACGAAATGGTGCGACATGAAATATCCTGACGCGAGTCTTAATAGACGTATATAAAGCCACTACTAATGCAACGTTTTACCAATCCCTGATTGATTTCGGCGACTGAGAGGTAATCATAGCCCGCGGGTCCTCAACCCTCTCTCATTTTGTATATTCAATATAAAAGCTACGAAGAATGCGTTTACCTAAAACGTACCCTTTTTCATGGTCTCTCTGAAAACTATTCAGTTAATTTCTCGATTCGCAGTGTAATAACCAATTCGGGACGTTGAAAACGTGAGCACTTCGGCATTTTAGTTTACATCCGCGTGTTTTACTACGCTACTCAGCTTATTTTCTTGCATTTTGTCACTTTATAAAAGAGCACACAAAAAAGTAGGGAATATTGGCTTTCATGTACTTCAAACAACGATGCGTATTTCTAGTCACGAAGCTTTGACTGAAATCAACAATATTTCGTACTTGTGAATAATAAGTCCAGCATTAAAATTTAACCATTAGATCGTTTAGTGTTATGAAAAACAGAAGTTATGATTAGACTGCTCATTAGCACAATTAGTGGAGCGAACCGTTAGTACTGCCGTCTACGATAGAACGCAAAAAACAAGCTGGTGAAATTTTAAAACCACGTGTGGTTTATCAGAAGCGTGTAAAGGCCTCGCAAAATCAGGAGACAAGACACTGCTTAGACTACACTAATATATTAATGTTATTGCTCATAGGATTTGGCGTTACTTTGAGTGTCTGTGTGCGTGTTTCTCTGTGTGTGTGTGGTATTATTGAAATTATACCTTATATTTTGCAGGTCTCTAAATCAACAAACATGAAGACCACTGTGTGTGTTTTCGTAGTTATGCTTGCAGTTACTGCCACATGTGAGTATTTATCTGCAAAGTAGTCTTTGTTATGTCACTCTAGTGTGTCCTGAACGACTCCCGGTCACTGACTGTGCAAACGCTTTATATCTTTCTCAGATGGCGCCCCTGGGTAAGTGGTGTCAACATTTTTTTCTTGTTATGCCAAACAATTTAAAGCTCATCATAAACATAACAGAACGCTCATCAAAGGTGCTCGAGATGTATTAGGAATTGTTGTGTTCACTGCATTAAAAGCTTTCTTTTTCTACCATAGGCTCCCTGTCAATGAAGACGACCATGGTAAGCAATGGTTTTATTGTCATAACAAAATATATAGCCAGGATACTTACCTGTACTAAGTTTAGTACAAACGCACACAATACATTATAGGATTTCACAGGTAATCCTGAATTGTTGATATGCATTCCCTTGCTAATAAATTGTAAGAGTTCCGGTGATTTTGTACGCTTTCTTATGAAGTATATTGGCAAAGAGAGTACATTACGTGACTTATTATCGCCAAAATTATGGGCCTGTTTTTCTTCACGAGTAAATATCACACAGTTATTTTGACCTCTGTTTTTTTTTGCACTTTCCTACCTGCATCGGATGCAATTCACATGTGAACTGTACATTTACAATCCCGAGCCTTGCGCCAAGCTGAATTATTATTATTTTTTTTAGTTTTCATTATACAAAAAGCGTGTTTTATTAGTAATCCTTAGCTTTGCTCGAGCCTTAGAGCTTGGGTATATCTTCTGATCCCATACATAGTGAGCGACCCAAAACATCCAGTTAATAAACGTGTACACGTGAATATACACGCAGTTCTCTCATTACGTACTTCAGATTAGGTATCGCTATTATTATGATTAAAAAGATTCCCTTCATAGATTGCAGCCGCTCTTAAATAATATGGTGAACATCCCTATTCGGACCACATTTCTCAGGCTTTCCTGGCGTACAAAAACGCTTGCTTGTACCTATCATCTGGAAATGAAAAGAAAAGAATTGGTAAAAAAGCAGTGTGTAACCTAAAATATACCATTTACTTACCAAGTGAAAATGCTCACAGCATGGCGTCTTTTTATTGCATGTGACCAATAGCACTCAACATGATATTTTAAAATCGTTGATTGTATTTCTACACCGCATCAGTAGAAGACGCTGACTGAACTGCTCGGGGAATGTGCCTTTTGTCCAACACACTTGCAGAGTCTGAAAGTAAAAAGTTTATTTCTGGTGCAATGGAGCTCCGGTCCTTGTCTTTTTTAACTTGTCATTATTTTACTAATAAGCAAGGCCACCAGCGGTAGTGCCATCGCAATTACGTCTCCGTAACTATATTTTTTTGTGTTTCAATGAAACGCGTGTTCCAGGTGATGCAACCGCTCCTTACTGGAAGGCGAAGCTAGGCTGGATCCTCGAACAGATCGGCAAGTTCCTCCAACAGTCAGCTGCCTCTTACTCCTCCGAAGATGGCGCCGCCACGTCTCAAGATATAACCGTCGGGCAGATTAGGAAAATAGCGGAGGTGCTCAACAAGGCTGCTGATGCCATCGAAAAGGGCGAGAAATTTGAACTGTTTTGAACAATAAACCATTTTTGTATTCACGTGGCTTCCGGCTCACGCTCAGTAAAACTTCGTCCGCTTAGAGAAAAGGCCATTTGAGACAACGAAAAAGTGCTGTGTGGGAACCTGCCAAAACAATGGAAAAGAATAATACAAACACAACGCCAATTTTGAATTCATTCCATTGCTAACGATTTCCGTGTTTTATATTCCGCATTCGTATGCAGCCATATCGCATAATGTATTAAGTCATGGAATTCGACATTTAAAACTTACTATGAACCTGGGCTCAAAGCGCGAAAACGAGCCTGTAGAGTAATCACCTACTCACGTGAGGATCAACCAAGTTTACCTCTGTTTTTAACGATGAACATGTTGCCCTATGATGGGATATATGAATTAAAAATTGCCACATGTGTTTTCAATATCGTCAAGAACATTTTCGTATTTTGCACATCCTTTCATGTCAATAGAACTCAAGCATACAAAAATGTTATCCTTCCTTCAACCGAAGACATTTACGGGCCCAATTGCTGTGGTTTTCAGGCCCAAATGTCTGGAATAAATTATCAGCAGATAAAAAAGAAACATATTTCATCAGTGCTAAAAAACACTTGTTTATTCTTAACGATGTTGTTTCAGTGTGAACAATCATGATGTCACTTTTTTTCTTGTAAGTAGTTTTCTGAAACCTGGTACAAAAACTCTTTTTTTCCTTGAGGTGAACCATGTAAATTTTAGCCTTGGATATTAGTGCATCAATTTACCTTGTTTACTGTCTTTACACGTCTCTCAAAAATGTAACTGTACACTTACGGAAACGTTTTTTTTGTGCACTTTGACATCTGAATATGTGTATATGTGTAGTAACTATACCCATACACATTCCTCTACCCTCCTCTAGTACAGAGAAATCTATTTTTTTTATTTTTATTGAATCCACAACTAGACTTTGGTTATGGGTTCAACCAGTTTTGGTATTTTTGTATAATATGTCTGCAAATAAAGGACCGAAATAAATGTAATTAGGAAGTACAATCAAGCTACCACGCATGAGCCCCACTGTAGCCATTATGTTTATTTGTGTCACGTTGCTGCGCAGAAATGTCGAAGCTGAAAGTTTTAGAACTCGTCTTCAACAGATTGCATTTGAAGAAAGTCTCCATCCTAAACGATTGCCACTTTCTTAATCTTGTTAAATTGAAGCCACTAAAGCGAAAAATGCGGCAAAACCAAGGGGCGGCAAGCCAAGACAATAACGCTGATGTTGCATATTAGAGCAGCGTTAAATAGCAGAAAGTTGAGTAGTGGAAATAGTTCAAAGGCTCTATGAAGACGTGGAATCGGCAATGAGTAAGGTGAAAACACAGCATGCTATAATTATGGGAGACTTCGATGCAAAAGTAGGGAACAAACAGGCTGGAGACCAGGCAGTAGGAGACAATGGCAACGGTACTAAATATGCCAGAGGGGAACTACTAGTAGAATTCGTAGAACGCAATAAATTACGGATTTTGATAACCTTCTCACTGAAAGTCAGGGAACCGTAAGTGTACATGGAGGAGCCCTACTGGCGAAACTAAGAACAAAATAGACATTATACTGAGTGAAACCCAGGCATTTAGCAGGATGTGGAAGTGCTTGGCAAGGTACGATGCAGTGACCATAGAATGGTACGGTCCCGAATTCGTCTAGACTTGAAGAAACAACGACAGAAACTGATGCGCAAGAAGCCAGTCAATGAGCTAGCACTGAGAGGGAAAGGACAGGAACTCCGAGTCTCGCTTCGGAACAGGTACTCGGCTCTTAGTGAGGAAACCAGCCTTAGCGTTGACGCACTCAATGATAATCTGACGAGTATCATTACGGAATGCGCAGTAGAAGTTGAAAGTACTGTAGTTATACAGGGCACTGACAAGCTATCCCAAGAAACAAAGAACCTCATTAAGAAGCGTCAAAGCATGAAAGCCTCAAGTACAACAGACAAAATAGAGTTGGTAGATCTTTCGATGTTGATTAATAAGCGTAAGGTATCCGATGTAAGAATGTATAACATGGAGAGAATTAACACGCTCTGAAGAATGAAGGAAGCGTCAAAGCAGTGAAGAGAAAACTTGGGATAGGCAAAAACCAGATATATGCACTAAAGGACAACGAAGGCAAAGTAACTACCAATATGGATAGGATCGTAAAATTAGCGTAGGAGTTTTACAGAAATCTGTACAGTGACCAGCACAATCACGACCCTGACATAAGAACTAGCAGTAGCACAGATGACGCCCCACCAGTATTGACAGAAAAAGTCAGAAAAGCCTTGGAGAGCACGAAAAGAGGCAAAGCTGCTGGTGAGGATCAGGAAATATATCTGCTGAAACATAGAGAACGGATTGGGTTACAAAAACTTGCGACCCTGTTTACGAGGTGTCTCCTGAAAGGAAGAGTACCAGAATCTTCGAAGAATGCTAACATCATCCTAATACAAAAGAAAGGAGATGACAAGGACTTGAAGAATTACTGGCCGACCAGCTTGCTCCCCGTAGTATAAAAGCTATTTACAAAGGTAATTGCTAACAGAATTAAGACAACATTATAATTCAATAAACCAAAGAAACAAGCAGGATTTCGATCAGGCTACTCAACAATCTACCAAAATCATACTATCAAATAGGTAATATAGAAATGCTCAGAATATAGGCAACCACTATACATAGCCTTCTTAGATTACGAAAAAGCGTTTGATTCAGTAGAAATATCAGCAGTCATGCAGACACTCTGGAATCAGGCCATGGACGAAGCATATATAAACATCTTGGAAGAAATTTACAGGGGATCAACTGCTACCATAGTGCTTCATAAAGAAAGCAACAGAATACCAATCAAGAAGGGTGTAAAGCAGGGGGATACAATCTCCCCAATGCTAATTACCGCGTGCTTACAGGAGGTTTTCAGAGGCCTAGAATGGGAACAGTTAGGCATAAGAGTTAATGGAGAGTACCATAGTAACCTGCGTTTCACCGATGACATTGCATTGCTGAGTAACTCAGGGGACGAATTGCAACTCATGATTATGGAGTTAGACAAGGAGAGCAGAAAAGTAAGTCTTAATGTTATTCAGCAGAAAACGAAAGTAATGTACAAAAACCTCGGAAGAAAACAGCGCTTCTAGATAGGTAATATGGCACTTGAAGTTGTGAAAGACTATGTCTACTTCGGACAGGTAATAGCCGCGCAGCCGAACCACGAGACTGAAGTAATTGGAAAAATAAGAATGGGGTGGAGCACATTAGGCAAGCACTCTCAAACCATGACAGGTATACATTGCCGCTATCCCTTAAGAAGAAGGTATATAGCAGCTGCATCTTGTCGGTACTTCGCTACGGAGCAGAAACCTGGAGACTTAAAAAGAGGGTTAAGCCTAAATTGAGGACGACACAGCGCGCAATGGTAAGGAAAATGGTAGGTGTTGCCTTAAGCGACAAGAAGAGAGCAGAGTGTGTTAGGGAACAAATAGGGGTTAAGGATATCATAGCTGAAATCAAGCGAGAGGAAACGTACATGGGCCAGGCATTTTGCATGTAGACAGGATAACGGTTGGTCATTAAGGTTATCTAACTGGGTCTCTAGAGAAGGCAAGCGGGTTAGGGTGAGACAGAAGGTTAAGTGGGCAGACGAGATTAAGAAGTTTGCGGGTATAAATTGGCAGCAGCAAGCACAGGACCGAGTTGACTGGCGGAACATGGAAGAGGCCTTTGTCCTAGTGGACGCAGTCAGGATGATGATGATGATGATAATGAGGATCATGATGAAATAGCGAAAAAAGGGGTCCTCTCAAGAATCTAGAAAACATGCATAATATTTACTCTAAAAACAACTATGCTGATACCATCCGTGTAACTCGCGGCTGTTGTCGACATCTTGATAAAAAAAAAGAATGAAGGAGTGCACCCAACATTTTGAGGACATGTTTAGCTTGCGGTAAAGTTCAATCATTCTCCTAAATGATGCGTCTGCGCCTCAACGAGAACTTAAATTTTGTTAAACGCGAGAGTGTAGCTATACTGCTTGCATTTCAGCTAAACGTTAAACTATAGCTCCACTGGATGAAGCATTCACACATTCCCGAAAGCGAGTAATCCTAACACCAGTAGTCCGAATACGCAAATTTCTCATGAGTATTATACTCTTTGAAATATTTGTCATCGCATTTTTTCTTTTGTTTTCCTTTTCGTGAACCCTTACACGAATTTGTAAATTTGCAAGGGGTCGAGCAAAATAACTTTTATCAATTTAGCGGCCATTTTCAACCCACGTATTCTTCTGTGCACCTACGGTAAAACCACCTGGTTTTTTTATCTTGGTCATCAACATCGCCATCACATCTTCTTTTTTGAATTTTAAATGCTTGGCCAAACATTTAGTGCATGGATTGATGTTCATGAACTAAAGATGGGCTGGTGATAGCACACCATGCTCCTGCCGGAAGACACTCTTGTATATGGAGGGAGCGGCTCTTTCACACCATATTTGAGAGACATAAATTGATGGCAGCCCTATTCAGCATACTGGAGTGGTAAAAATATACGGTAAGTGCACAATTTTTTCTCGTACTATAGATTCAGAAACTAGAGTCAAGAAGATGACAAGGATCGATTAAAATGTATAAGCCTAAGGAAATTATTTTGAAGTTGTTTATGAGTTTAACGGAGGTGTACTTTGCGTTATTAGAAGACTATCTCCATGCTGTCGTTTCCGCTAAGAAAAGCTCACAGAGTATAACATTACAAAAACCCGAAATCCTTTAGCATAGTGAGCAACACCAGAAACTCAGTCGTAATTAGGGTATTGCACATGTGTTTTTCAATACTTGCTGAGAAAATATCACAATGTACTGGAATGATATTTTTCTCCCCACAAACATCCTGTTTCTGTACAGATAACTCCCCAGCAATTACAACGAGCGTTTTTGAAAGGTATAAGAATGAAGGCTAAAAAAACTTCTCATTTGAAAGCCTGCTATAGCCCTGCACCCGCGCTGCATGGATGTC